GGAATGCCTCTGAACAGCGTTGTGGAGTCCCAAAGCCTTCCCTGCTCCTAGGAGAAGTATGTTGCAATGTTCCTTTTACAAGTAGCAGCTAATTCCTCTCCTTGCACTGGTGCAGCTCCAGTGACCATTTACATTGCGGGGATGGGGCCGCCGACCCCTGCCCACTTGCTCATTTGTGGTGGAGGAGCCACCGGCAGGAGCCACAGCAGGCCCGGATCCAAGAGTTAGCAAGGTCATAGGTGACTGCCGTGCTAGTCCCCTGCTTGGTCACACTGGACAGGGGCACAGTCAAGATCCAAGCTAGTGAAAATTAGGGCTGCGTCTCAGCTGGACGCCAGTCCCAGGCTGGAAGCCTCAAGCGGCGATGTGCTCATCTCTACACAAACACAAGGCACTTCAGCTCCTTGTGATGAATTAATGGTCCTGCCTGGCTTGTACAGCTGCATCCGAGACGCTCCTTCAGGCCTTAGGGTAATGCTTCTCTCTCTCTCCAACCACCATCACCAACATTCAGCTGGTTGCAGCGGCCTGTCTGTAAGGGTGTGTGTGCAGGTGTGTGTACTCTTACAAAGATGCTAGAAACCCGGGGTGGGGTGGGGGAATGGTCTCCCCCCTACTTCCCTCCAAGTTCCTTGGCCCAGGTGGGCTGATGTATGAAAGATCGCAATGGAGGTACTTCAGGGCACTTGGCTCTCTCAGACATTTCATGAAGCAGAAGCCTCATCCAATGGTTAAGACACAAATCTGGCACTTGGAAGAAAACAGTTCAATTCCCTGTCCTGCCACAGACTACCTATGTGACCTTGGGCAAGTCACTTAGTTGGTGCTTCATTTCCATCTGAGCAAATGGGAATGCTAACACTTCCCTACCTCACAGGTGCTGTGGGGGTACATGCACTGAGGGCTGTGAGATATTCAAATATTACTATCGCTCCAACACCGGTGGCCTGATGCTCCCCAGTATAAGCAGATCTTTTAAATCCGACAGAACAAATAAGAAAAAACATGGGGTCTCCTTTTGCCATGGTGGTGAGTGTTTTCTCTTTCAGAGTTGAACTACATGCACCATTTGCCCCATTTGCCCTCAAAACCTCTGTGTGAGGCCTTATTTCTAACAAGAAATCAACTGGGAAGGAAATGGAGCACCATAACCCAATGCAAGACTTAGAGGACCAGCCTAAGACTGTACAGCGTAATTGGTGTGTTCGTGTTCATGTTCTGGAACCCTAATGCCTCCCACATTTGTATTCAAGTGGGAATCCGACACGCAAAAAGCAAATATCCGCCGGAAACTTAATTCCCGACAAGCTGTTGAGTTATCATTCCCTTTCCAGAGTGCTGTGAAATCAAAGCTAAGGATTGTCACAGCAGCGAGTCAGGAAGTGTAACCTTGTTCAACGAAACTTGACCTCTGCTGCAAAGCAAAAATGATCTTGCTACCTGCATGTTTCCTTTCCCCAGGAGACAGATACTGGGTGTTCAAAGACAATAACGTGGAGGAAGGATACCCTCGGCCAATTTCGGACTTTGGCTTGCCACCGGGAGGCATCGATGCTGCTTTTTCCTGGGCCCACAATGACAAGACTTATTTCTTTAAGGACAATCTCTACTGGCGTTACGATGACCATGAGCGGAGAATGGACCCCAGCTATCCATCAGAGACCACTCTGTGGAAGGGGATCCCAAGCCCGTTAGACGATGCAATGAGATGGTCAGATGGTGAGTGTCTCCATGCTATTGATGGAGGGGAAATACCCTTCACATCTTAACTGTGCTTAAATCCTTTATTATTTTAACTATGGCAGCCTAGGTAAAGTGTTAATATAGACACCATTATGCCAGTACAGAAATGCTTGTACTGAAGTAGCTTATTCCAAGTTGATTAATTGAATTAAGCTGTACAGTTTTTCACACGTCACCCTGGTATAACTGCATCTACATTAGGCTTTTCTGGCGTAGCCATATTGACAAAAAAGAAATCACATTAATGCCAGCAGTTTCATTAATGAGACTTCCTAAATGCAGACTAGGAATAAAAACACCATTCACAGCAGTGCTGCACCACAATTGCTGGAATTATCGTGAGATCTTGTGTGCAGAGCTGTGGCATTTCATTACGATGCAGTTTTATCCTGTGGTGAGGCTGTGACATGAGTCTTGCAAGCTGTTGGTCAGTAATTAGAAGTATTCTGTATCACTAAGTGACACATAACTCGTGGCTGCGACTTGTCACGTGTATGAAACCTTGTCCTCATTCTTGTGCCTAAAATATGTCTGACAGCATCCATAGCACTTCAGACCGTGATTTGATGAATTAAACTAAACCGGGCCAGCTCATTTTTCAGGTGTGGGACCTAAAAGCTAAAACCCCAGGGAATCAGTAGGAGATGCTGATGACTGGCTAGATATATAGGATGCACGTAACACATGCACCATGCACAGACACAGATGGACAGACGTTAGTATCAAGACTAATCAATGCCTCCACATTGTATTAAGATGGGGCGCATAGATTCATAGATTGTAAGGCCCAAAGGGACCTCGGCAGATCGTCGGGTCCAGCCCCCTGCACCAAGCAAGAAAGATAACTGGGGGTCAAGTAACCCCAGCAAGGTGCCCGCCCAGTCTCCTCTTGAAGATTTCCAGGGTAGGTGATTGCACCACCCCTGGAGGGAGCTTATTCCTCAGTCTGGACATCCTGACTGTGAAGAAGTTTTTCATAGATTTCATAGACATCAGGGCTGGAAGGGACCTCGGAAGATCATCGAGTCCAGCCCCCCGCCCAAAGGGCAGGAAGTCGGCTGGGGTCATAGGATCCCAGCAAGATAAGCATCCAGTTTCCTCTTGAAGGTGTTCAATGAAGGCGCTTGAACCACCTCCGGTGGCAGGCTGTTCCAGACCTTGGGGGCTCGGACAGTAAAGAAGTTCTTCCTTATGTCCAGCCTGAAACGATCTTGAAGTAGTTTGTGACCATTCGAGCTCGTCATCCCTTGGGGCGCTCTGGTGAACAAACGTTCCCCCAGATGCTGGTGGTCACCCCTGATAAACTTGTAGGTGGCCACCAGATCACCCCTGAGCCTGCGCTTTTTCAGGCTAAAGAGCCCCAGGGCTCTCAGCCTGTCATCGTAGGGTCTGTTTCCCTGACCTCTGATCATGCGCGTGGCTCTTCTCTGGACTCTCTCAAGCTTCTCCACATCCTTTTTGAATTGTGGAGCCCAAAACTGGACACAGTACTCCAGCTGCGGCCTCACTAAGGCCGAGTACAGGGGGAGAATGACGTCCCGGGATTTGCTTGAGAGACGTCCCGGGATTTGCTTGAGACGTCCCGGGATTTGCTTGAGATCATCGAGTCTGACCCCCTGCATAGGCAGGGAAGAGTGCTGGGTG